ACCTCTTTTTCTGCCTAATTCTATTACTTTGTAACACTTTCACTTTATCTCATGCAAAAGTCAATGCATTGCAGCAGTCAAGATTTTATCAAGATTGCTTAACTTAGCAGGATGAAACATTCTATATCCAGCTAAATTCCTAAGTGTTCTGATAATTTAACTGACCCTGATCTATCACTCTGACTTGTATAATTGACCTCATAGTCACTAAATGGCATTTGGTAAATTATATTATTTTTCGTGATTAGATTTATGAAGTAGTTAATCTAATAAAGTTTATTTCTGAAAGAGCTGGTTGATTTAAATGCCACCTAAATTTCAGCCACTTTAAGAGTCCTCTGTAAGGTTTCTGATGCTCCTAATTATTCATAATATTTTAAACATTGTCATTACTACTTCTATTTTTTAATGGGTATTCACATATTAGTCAGTTATTCAGTATAAACTGATATAAGGATAAAACTTAAGCACTGTGGTAGAATGAGTATAACTCCATTATGGATAAAATTTTATTTTGATGAATCACACAGTGTTGTTATACAGTAATATTTACTAATGACCACATTTCGAGCACAATTTATCACTGCCACTCATAATCATAACAAGTCACTACTCACACAACTTTCTTGCTTCACATATACACATGAGTAAAAATTGATGATTTGACATTTGAATAAAATCAATATAAGATAAAGTACATTCAGAAATAATATTAGTGTTATCAACAAAATACAATAAGATGGGAAATAAGACATTTTTATAACAAAATAAATAAAATAAAATATAAACGAATTTTTAAGGTTTTCCCATCGGTTGATTGAACCGAAGTGCTCGGTCTCAAGTTGACATGTCGGTCCAATCAACAGACGGGAAAATCTTAAAAATTAAATTAAATTAATATGACCCGTTGCACAAGAGGTGGCTCTCGTGGTCCAAGTGGTCTAGTGGATAACGCTTTGGCGTTTGAAAATATGGGCACTGGGTTTGAGCCTCGGTAGGAACATCATCACTCACTGGGAAATGCAGGTACTTGCAATTGACGAGTCCCAAATAGTACGAAATGCGCATCCTGGATTCCACTGCTAGTCACCATCCACAAATTAAACTTGTTAGAATGTTATAGTGTGAATTGATGGAATACATTTTAACATTATTCATTATCTTTTGATTGCACACTAGTCAGTAACTAGTGTAATGTATCTAGTCCTATCTTCGGTGCAGACTGAATTCTATCAGTCATGTTTGCAATGTGGCCACCATGCTAGGTGGCTCGCCATTACGGTGCACTGTGAGTTGTTGGTATTAGATGGTTGGAGGCAATCGGCAGGAAGCCTTGGACCTAGGTTTCGTGCTAGTTGGCACTCGTCAGCAAGGCGTATCTGCAACCTTGAAGGAACTGATGTCCCTTCTGAGATTCGAACCCGCGTCACCCAGTGCTGCAGTCAGAGACGTTACCACTGAGCTATTCAGGCTCGCGACTGACCTCCTGTAGGACTGTATTGGATATTTTTGATTGCACACTAGTCAGTAACTAGTGAAATGTGTCTGGTCCTATCTTCGGTGCAGCACTGGGTGACGCAGGTTCGAATCTCAGAAGGGACATCAGTTCCTTCATGGTTGCAGATACGCCTTGCTGACGAGTGCCAACTAGCACGAAACCTAGGTCCAAGGCTTCCTGCCGATTGCCTCCAACCATCTAATACCAACAATTATTCATTATCCTCCTCTGATTCGACTGGTGGTAATAATATCTTCCATATCTCTGGTATTTGTGTTGAGTCACTTCTATTGCATGTGTTCTGTGAAGACTCCGTGAACCAGGCAGGATTCAGTAATCAATCTCTCTCTCCACATGCCTATATCCCTTTCCAGAATTTGGTGTCTGTCCCATCCACCTTATTGTGTGGTTGTGTGTTAATGCATGCAGTCCTATAGCTGAGTATTTTTCTAAGTTACTTATCTTCGCTGATGGGGTCAACCATTCTAACCTTAGCTAAATTCTTATGTTCTGACAATCTCACTACTCCTGATCCACTACTAGTTTAACCTGTGTAGTTGACCTCAGTCAACGGTCACTGCATGGTATTTTGTAAATTAGACTATTTTTCTTATTTGTTTGATTTCACTATTTAAATCTTCTGGTTTACTGGTTAGCCTCCTGGCTAGATTATCCAGATATTTAACTAAATCTACTTTTACCAATTTCTGGGTGGGATGAATCATAGTCTAAGTATTTATTGTAAAATGTTGTGGTTTCCTATTGGTGAAAATATCTAACCTGTTCACCATTCTCTTTCCGGTTTATATTTTACTCTCTAGTATAGCTAACTCACCTTGTTCATTTTCTAACTTGGAAGTAAACTGGATTCACAGTATTAAACAATTTATGTATGTGTTGCTACGGAAACCGACTCATTGTGGTCTGAAAGCAGGAAACTAATGTTTGCGCCTTAATGTCTGTCTGACCAAAACTTCCTTTAGTCACACTCACGCACACACACACATAATCACGAAACTCTGTAAAGACAGCCAAAAGACGATTCGTCGTTACAAGATCTATGTCGTTCTACTTAACAACAATAATGAAATCAAAAAACTCAAAATTACATCAACAGTGCACTTAGGTAGCTATACAGGCAAGAAACCGTTCTAAGTACAAATCAATTACTGTAGAACGAAATAAGTTAACCAAAGTTCATCTGTAAGAAGTATCAAAATGTCTGCCCACAAGAAACACACACTAACAAACCCAAAAACAGTTCAAGGTCAGAATGAACTTAATTCAGCAAACGAAATCACACCTTTATACAACACAATATGAATATCATCATCACAAAGTCATAAAGAGAAGCAATAATATTAAAGATTAAACAGGAACAAAGGCGAATAATACGGATTAAGTCAACCAGCACTATTTGTATTATTATTATACCCCTGGGTTCCAATTGGAACATAGGGTTTCAACAACACATCTCCACTTTGTCTAATTATCTGCTGCCCTCTTCAGCTGACTGAGGCCATGAGTGCCCATAATCTCTCATCTCGTCCTCCCCCCTCAAACGTTCTCTTCCATGTCAACATCGCACAGACGACCCACTGGTCGCTTCCTATTCGGATTTCACTCGATAGATTGTGAGCGATGTCATTCGACGGCCTCCTCAACGTATACCCGATATATCTATCTCCACTTTCTCTGACATATTTGTCAGACAACGGGTTCTTGATTCTTCCATTCCTAAAGTTTCTTGTTTCTAATTCTTTATGATCATTTGATTTTCAATATGGAGCGAAGATAGCTGTTGATGACAGTCTCCAACCTGTTAGGAGTGCTTTTCGTAACACGCACGCCAAGTTTTTGACCCAATGTTGCTGAAGATCCAAATTTTGTTGTTTATGCTGGCTGAGTGCAAAAGATTTCCGAATTGGTTTCATGCTGATGAAGGCGTATCTTGCCTTTCGGTTTCTGGCTGGCTGACTTTGACATATTCATCCGTGGCGTGTGCCTGCGGTTTAAACAATGCTTCCTAGCGGGATAAGTGAAAGAAGTGACCTCTTCCAAGTTTCTCCAGTTGATAGTGATGGTGTTGGTCGGTAGGTTATCTTCATCACCTCCGTCTTCTCTGTGTTCACCTGGAGTCCTGTTTTCTCTTCACTGCTTCTTCAGTGAGTTTGTTGGTTTTCTCCTGCAAGTCTTCGAGTTGAGAATGACATTAAACATAAATAATCTACGCGCGAAATCCAGATCTTCTATAGTCTTCTTAACTCTAGTCCGACGTATTCCTGTCTTCTCACTCTCTGTTCACAGTCTGACGCATAATCTGACTGTTAGTCAACCAGCATATCATAAGCAAATGTCATAACAATGATATACAGTCTAGAAGAAAAAGGGATAATAATAATTATTATAATTATAAAGTCAGTTAAAGCACCCAGATAAGTATAAACATGGTGACTAGATTGTTCATAAAGGATTTTCCAGACAATTTTTACATTACAGTGTGTACTGGAAATGTCATCCACCCCTTTATATTCTATTACACGGTATGTGCTACATGGAATTATCTGTTTTAGAATTGTATTCTCCTACAGTGCCTAAATTCTACACTTACATTAAAAGTCTCTTTTCTTAATTAAAAGTGGATTGTGGTAGGTAAAAATGACACTTTTATATTCTGTTACTTAATGAAGAGTCAATATTAAATGTATATTATGAAGCCTGACAGTAAATTATCTCAACGCAAACAGTGAAGCAGAAAATAACACACTAGAAAAACAATATTTCAGTATTCATCTTAAGCTATAAATCCCTTTTTTTAATTCTACGGAGTCTTTTATTGTTCAGTAGATCTCAGTCACATAAGTATATATGAAGCAATATTCAAGATAATATGAACGTGTTGACTTCATGTTCAGTATCAAAAAGGTTACCAAAACTGTTGTGACTGTATACCTTTTATTCCTTTAAATCCCGTGTGGAACATTTCTTTATTTCGATACGCTCCCTCAGTGGAACATAGGGCTTCTTCAGGCTAAAGGCTTGAAGTTTCAGTAGCAGTGGTGTTCATTTTTCAAGACTGGTTTCTAGCCCCATGGCTAATCTCCCCTCTTTACCAGCCTTAGTATTGACCTAGTGAGGTCAAGGTGTGTGGCGTCATCTGAGGATCGAATCCCGGACCACATGCATGGTCGGCGAGCATTCTACCGCTGTGCAACCGGTGCACAGGGTTTTAATTTTCACTTTTGAGGTTGGGTTAATAGCCTCACATCCAGCTTTCTCCATTTACTGGGCTGAATATTGGTCAAGTGATTTTAAGGATTATGTTCATCTGGGAATCGAACACCGGACCCTGTTGCATAGTTGACGAGCAATCTACAGCTGAACCATTGTAATTGGCATTTGTTTTCTTTCTAAAATATACGATATTCATATCATTTCTTTGTACTTTTGACCATTTTTTTTCTGTTTTTTTCTTTCTATTATATATATTCGCGCATAAAAGGAATACATGACAGTTCAGTGTACATGGTGTAAAATAGGCTATCATAATAAGTCTTCGTGTTTTCATGAATCTTCGCTATTGTCTGAACCATGTTCATTGGGACCACATTCAGATCTGATTGTTCCACCTGATTGGATTATCAAGCTTAGTGAAGGAGTAAGTCTTTCTTTTTGTTTCTTCTGTATGCGTTATATACAATCATATTTCTATTTCTTATGTAGTTTTGCTGTACAGTTGCCGTTTCATTTGACTCAGAAAGGCTGAGTGGTGAGGTTTTTGACTGCAGCAGTGAGAGACCCAGATTCGGATCCATAGTTGGGAGATGAGTTCATTCAAGACTTCAGATATGTCTCCTTTAACGAGTGCCGAATAACTCGAAATTTAGGTTCAAGGTTTCTTGTCAATTGCTTTGTTAACATGTATTGGCTGTTTATTTTTACACTTGTGACAATATTCATAAGAAAATCAATATAGTCAGCAACTTTCATGTATTCGAGAATATTCATCAAGGCAATTTGAAGCAACTCCCAGCCTTTCATAACGTGAGAATAATCATTCTAGACTAGTTATCTCCCTTAAAAAATTTCAGAATGCCTTCATTTATCAATCATTATTTTTGTTAATTATATAAAACTCAAAACCTCTACATCCTGATGAGAAGAATGCTTTACCATGGAACTTCAATTGAATATGTAATCATTACCAAATTCGAATTTAATTAGTAATTAGCAATTTCGCGTTAGGCAGTGCTTTTATCACTTCATTTCAATCAAGTTATTATCTGCGATGACGGTCACGATCTCATTCAGTTACTACAAATATTCAACAAATGCCATTCAGCTACAAAGTTCACTCTTGAAATTGAAAACGAATCTAAAATCCCTTTTCTTGATGTTGAACTCACAAGGAGAGCTGATGGAACTTTAGGAAGGTCCATCCATAGAAAACCCACATGGAACGGCCAACTGACAAGCTTCTACAGCTGGGTAACAATCAGTAGAAAAAGAAACCTAATAAGATCTCTTGCCAATCGCCTCCGACGCATCTGCAGTTCTAATATCCTGTAAAGAAGAACTACACTTTCTGAAAGAAAACTTCATACAAAACGGTTATCCATCTAGATTCGTAGACAAAAACTTCAAACAGAAAGTCTAAAAGCAAGAGACACCATCCGTGCCAAAAAAGATACTTTATATGAACCTTGACTTCAAAGGTGTCCTACTCAGTGATGTCCTTAGCAGGAGAATTTCGACTTTTTTAAGAAGAACTTTCTTTGCGGGAACATCGAGAGTAGTGTTCTCCAGTCGCTCGCTGATCTGCAGAAGCACAAAGGACAAGATTGCGCACTTGACCACTTCTATGTGTATATATCAGTTCACCTGTTGCTGTGAAGCCAGGTACATCGGTCTTTCAACGCACATCTTGTCAAAAATGGTCAAAGAACACTATCCAGCGTGGCTGCAGGAATAAAGTAGTGGCCGTATTAGGAACATCTCGTCAACACTGGTCATTCCATCTCAGCAAACGCCTCTATCAAAGTAATCTACAAAGTGAAGAACAACCTTCCAAAGACAGTACGATTCCGTCTTCTTTGCATTGCAGAAGCCTCAGCCATTCAGCTGGAAGTACCAGAACTATGCATACAAAAGAAAATTATTCAACAACTTCTATTATCATGGTAACAACTCTGTTGATTTGACTTAACTTTTGTTTCTATGATTATTTTTCTAACTACTTAAAACCCTTGCGTAATTTCGTTTGTTATTTTGTTTCCATGTACACCCTGAGCACAACTCTTTCATCAAACTATTCACATTATTACGTAACTCTTCTTTAACAAACGTTGGAGACAACTCATCACTTTTGTTACTACCCTCTTATATCAACATCCAATTCACCTGAACTTGCTAATTGTGTTTTCGTTTGACAAATTTAATGTACACACACATGCAAAACAACCATATGTATTTGCGACTGTACAGCTATGAAAATGAATTCGCCGCTGAAAAGAGACTCTTCGCTGAACTATTTGTCTTCTGTCTATTAATGTTCGAATGGGAATTTTTCATGAATTAAAACTATATTTTTCAAGTATTGGCTTGCAGGAATTCAGTGATGATCATGAATTCACCTCGTAAAACTGTATATTAACGATCGATTGGTGATGAACAGCAGCGAGTAGTGCTTCATAGCCAACCAGATCGAGATGATTTGAACATCTGAGGACCATCTCGCTCATTTAGGGCTAATCTCATCAATCATGCATCTGGCTTGACTCAGCTCAGAAAGATAGTTCAAACCACCTGGTTTCTGGTTAGTTACATGCAAATTAGTTAGTGATTTGTAATCTACACAGTATGATCACAGTATGTGATCTGAATCATTTGGTTTCTAAACGAAATTGTGGTGAGAAAAATTTCATCGTTTGAACTGTGTAAATTATAAATTTGGTGAATTTACTTCAGATGGAGGACCAACGGAAGCCAGAGAACATTGAACAGCCTTTCTGCTCTTCTTTGGGACTCTTCAGCCGTACGCCTTCGTGAATTATCTTACAGGAGTCTTGATATTACAAGATGATCTCGCACACATTCAGTCTCTAGGACAGAATGCATAAATTATGCACAGCTGTATGAAAAATAAAACTTTAACCTCTACACAGAACAAGAATATGATAAACAGGGATAGACACGCATTCTGACATACAAATAAGCGAAACTAATGGTGTGCAGTCACTCTGTCTATCACTGAAACATTCACTTTAACAAATAACTAAAATTAAAACAATTATCCTTATCCCCTTTGTGTTCCAAATGGAAATGCGTCGGTGACACAATGGTTAGGGGTTCGATCCCCTGCCGGTGCACACCCGATATCTATGGTATGCCTGAATTTGGGCAACCGATATCCATGCTGAAAATTCCATACTTGTACTGAAAATACGGTGTGGAATCAAGCTGTAAATCAAATTTAAAAAAATAAATAAAAAAAAAATAGGGCTTCAGCAGAACACCACCGTTTCATTCTGTTCTCTACAGTTTTTCTCAGCTGGCCCCATTAATTCCTCATAAGCTTTCATCTCCTCTTCACACGGCCTCCTCCATGCCATTTTCAGTCCAACGCCCAGCGCATCGTTTCTCAGTGGGCTTTATCTTGAGGAAGAACCTAGTCTGTGATGTCAATTAACGGTCTCATCAGAGTGTGTCCTATCAATCTCAATTTTATAAGGCATATCTGTGGAGCAATAGGTCCTTGGTTGGTCCATTGCAACACTTCCATTTTGCTTATTCTCTCTATTCCTTCCTTCTGGTTATCTGATCTTCAGTATTGAATGAAAGCAATCGATGATAGAAGTCTTCACCAGCTTGTTAGAAATGCTTTCTGTGTCGTTGTAAAACTATGTGTATTCTGTACACTTCTGATCACTATCACTGAATGTATCTAACCGAAAATGGGGTGTGGATCAAGAATGTTACTAGAGATATGCATTCAATCGTACTTTGAATTAAACAGTTTTTTTGCAAATTGCTCAATGCAAGTTCTCACTTGAATTCAACATTAAGTACTTTTCTTTGAAGTTGTATTTTTTCCTTCACGTTCCCCAGTGGAACATAGGGCTTCAGGCTAGTGGCTTGAAGTTTCTGTAGCAGTGTTTCTTTTACAGGATGGGGTTGCTAGCCTCATGCCCAACCTTTCCTCTTCACCAGCATTATTTCTGGCTTAGCGAGGTAAAGGAGTGAGTCCAGTGTCCGGGGATTGAACCCCGGACCATGTGGATGGTCGGCGAGTGTCCTAACCGCTGTGCTACCGGCAGTGAATAGCCGATCGCTACTAATGTTGCTCTCATCAAGTCTGTACACAGACTGGCACTTCAGTTTCCGTATATTCATGTCATTCAGATGCAATTTCAGCAGCTTCATTTATCTACTTGATAAGCAAGTTTCAATGACTATGCTAAAAGATTAAGATGTATATAAATATAGAGAATGGGGAGGACCTGAAGACGGAGTAAAAGTTTCAATCAAACTAGGGACCTACAGATTGCTAGCCAGGTGGTGTGAATCCTTTCATGACTGACAGTTTCATTTGTATTCAAGTGTTGGTTTGTAGGGATTTGATTGGTTGCAGGATTTTCATCATGAGCTGACATTAGTTAGAGAACCATTGGAAAACCTGCAGGGAGTACTGGACAGCTGTTTCGTCCTAGTTTGGAACTCTTCAGTGGCAGTACGCACCCCCCACGAGCGTTCGAACCCAGAAGCTTCTGGTTACATTTGTCTTCAGTCAACGCCCTTTTTCACAACCAATAGTCGTCTACTAGTTGAATCCACCAACATCTATATATAAATGTATATAAATCATTAAATACTGAAAACAGCTACTAGTAACAGTATAAAATTTCATTCACATATATATGGTCTCTTTCCTTTTATCTGTTTATCCCAGATGAATTCTATCCATCTGGTGTCAGCTGATTATATTGCCGCAATAAAGACTATACATTATTCTTTTCTCTCTCTTTCTTTCTCTGCGTTTGTGTTGCATAGATATGATTAGTAATCACTACTAAAAATAATTATCTATTTGATTGTATTTAAATAAATAAAAATAATCTATCATAATTTTTATTTCAAACAAAAACCCACATCTGTTTATGTACGGATACAGATAAATAACATAACAGCAAATACATGTTTTACAAAAGAAATAAATCTGAAAAAAGGAAATTCTAATAAGGAGTTTTTGACGATATCAGAGTGCACATTTCATCCTATAGGGAACTCATCAACGAAAGATCTATCTACACCGTCCCAGTGAGTGAATAATGCAGTTCTCGCTGGGACTCAAACCCTGTAGCCGTCGTTTTCAATGCCAAAGCGATACATAAACAGGACCACCGCCTTTGCGATGTGCATTAGGAGCTCTTCATTAGTACGAGTTCGTTAGTGTTCACAACCTAAGATCTTCCGGTTACAAGGTAAGCTCATCAACCATTCAGCCACTGCAATCCCATCAAAATTATTCATGAATACCAACTTCCATTTATCAGATTCCTGCAAAACCAAAAACAGAAAATTAATCTAGTGTTCACCAGCAACTGGTTCTAAACAGAAAGACACTTGGAATTCTAGTAAGAAGCCATAACAGGCAGGGTCTACCGTGTTAGGTAAGGGAACACTTAATAGCTGATGACACTGGTTGCCGGTTGATCTACATATATATACATATATATATATCAATCCCTTGGTAATGGACCGGGTTCCAGTGGCTGAATGGTCTACGACTTCGCCTTGTAATCCGATGGTTTTGAGCACGAGTCTCAGTGGACACACGTCGCTGAAGAGTCTCGAACTAGGATGAAACGGTCGTCCCGTTCTCCCTGCTGGTTCTCCATTGGTTCTCTAACTGGTATCAGCTCATGATCAAATCCTTGCAAATCGACACCTGGAAGTTAATTTTTTATTACCCATTTGTTGTTTCTTATTAGGTCCAAGGGCTTAGTGCCTTTTGACAATGTCTGAAAATTAAACACGTTGCTATTCTATTTGACTGACAAACAAAAAATGGACTCCACTGTTAACTTCTATCAATCAAACAAAAAATTTGAACACTGTCACCAGTTTAAAATGTTGATTCTAGTGTAAAACTTGTCGCCAACTTGTCGTCTTAAACTTTTCATTTCGAAGTACCTACTGTCTTTAAATTTATTTAACGTTGAACAGTTTTGTTTTACTGAAGGAAATTTCTTTTTTGTCAGGTAATTTTCGTCAACAATGATTAAGTGGATGAATGTTGTTAATAACAATCATTCTTTCATTATTATGGATGGATATATAAGTGTAGAACCTGATGATGAAGAAGGGGTTATCGAAAAGAATATTCATTGTTCAGTAATCAGTCTTTTGAAATTTCTAATGGGCATCTTTAATTAATTGATTAATTAATGCTCATAGTTGTTGAATTCAAGTGCTTGTACTTGGCAGTGACTGATTTCATTGGACGCAAAGGAAGATTTATCCTTTCCATTATTTATATATCCCTAACTGTTCAGAAATAATTATGTTTCAAGTTTGAACACAAACTGATCTCAGATAAAGAACTATTGAAAACCTGGGAGCATTAGGCACATGTCTGTTTCCATCGTTAATACTCACCCAACTCCGTACAAACTAACTCTTGAAAATGAATCTGATGCTTCCTAGCAACTGGTTTCAGGCCAGAGTTTCTTGATCCATCCTGTCGACAGCGAAGACAAATACTCTCTAGCCATAACACTGGCTAGTGGTCGCGCTAAATGCATCTCGAATTGGTAGAAATTAGAATTCATGCGCTAACCACTGAGTCGGGTTCCAGTAACTAAAAATGGTCTATGAGCGTGTCTTGTAACCGAAAGGTCCTAAGTTCGAACCCTGGCAGTGGGTAAGTACTTCCAATGAGTGCCAAACTAGGACGAAACAGGTGTCCAATACTCCCTGGTTTTCAACGGTTTTGTAACACTGATATTAATCTATAGTCAAAATCGAAAAAAGTATCAAATTCCTACAAATAATAATTGTTTTTGACAACATTATGATAACATCAAAAACAGGAAAAGAAAATGTATTAGACTGATTACCTGTGTGTGTGGGTAAATGTGTTAGTTAGTGTTTAACCAAGGAAAAATTAAGTGTCACAATTCAAAGAATGAATGAATCGTTGGGAAAACACCAAAACAGTAAATAAGGGAGAAGGGAATGTGCATACCTACGGGACAAAAGGCTGTAGGTAAAAGTAATGACGCAATACAGTATTTATGCATTTATAAATATCAATCACAGTAGGCTGGACCTGTTTCTTTTGCAGAAAAAACTCCCACTGTTTAAGAAAAATTGTTATGGTTTTCGTTGTTGCCAATTATTCATTGCCTGATCGCGCATTTCGTAAACATCCTCAATTATACAGTCAGAGCTATATTTGTTCAGAAGATGTGACTGAAGACAAGACGCTAACTGAAAGTGGCTACCCTGAAAAGGCCAACCATAAACACATAACCAAGAAGGTAGGAAAGAGTTCTCCCGTATCTGTTAGCAAGAAGCCTCTCATCATATATACATGACTGCAATTCAGCTGTGGTAGATACACCAAGTGAAATAATAACCAACAATAAGTTGAGAAGATCGAATGAAAAGAAGTTTAATGACAGTAGGCTGCAGCTCATATTCTCCATATTCTCCGATTGTGGGTCCTCAAGGGAAAGATGAAGAAGCTAGAATAGCCACCTCTAAATGTGTTTATCAATCCAACAGCTGGTTATATTGACCGTTGATTACTCTAGGAACTTAACTTTTAGTGCTCGGTAACATCTGTCAGTGTAGTTAAATAAAGATGTTGTTAAAACCATCAAAAGTTCTATCTATGTTTGCCTCGCCCAAATAGGCGTTCCTCTATCATCCATCGCGTAACGAATAAATTATCAAAGGACTCTAGATACCGAATACTGGAAACAGAAGAGGCCATTGCAATTGGCCTAAATCAACCGGAGCTGTGAGTTCAAAAGGAAAACAGGCCTAATCAGTCATTACGGTTACCCTGGCCTCCTACTGTCCAACCTATAAATTAATTCATACCTCCCATGTGTTACTTCCCTTAATTTATTTGATATTCAATGAGTTTAGTGTTTTATTACTGCATATTATCTCTTCCTCTCACTTATTGATGCTTTTGAAATATAATTTGCTGACACCGGCTATTAATTTTATGTAATTTAAAGTAAAACTGATTTTGTTAATAACAATACCTTTTTGCGTTATTGGCGTCATATAAATGTAGAACCTGATGAAGGAGAGATTAACAAAAATCTGAATAGTCTTTGTTCTGATGACGTCAGATGGTTGGAGGCAATCGGCCACAGGAAGCCTCGGCTGACCTAGGTTTCTTGCTAGTTGGCACTCACTAGTCAGCAAGACGTATATGCAACCTAGACTGGTGGCCACATTGCAAATCTTACTGGTATAATTCAGTCTGCACCAGAGAAAGGAGTAGACACATCACACGAGATATTAGTATCCAATGAAAATATTCTTTGTTGATTAATCGATCTTTTAAATTTTTAATGGGCGGAGTGTTATGACGGAGTGATACTGGGTCGTGGATTCATCTGACTCGACTAGAATGCATCTCCAGATCATCACACAGTATCCGACTGATCAATTGAAAATATCTCCCACATTGAGATGAACACAGAACAGAGACTGATAAAAACAACTAGACAAAATAGGTGTTTTATTATATTTACAAACCCTTAGAAATTCAAACCATAAGGAAAAGAAATCTGACTGTATGACATCGAAATACCAATCAGAAAGTTAACAGTCCAATCAGGTTATCAAGTGAGTACATACATAAACCATGACTTCGCAGTTAACAAAGAGGCTTGTCCGTCGTAATCAATAAGTCCTCAATAATTCTGAATAAATCACGAACAACAATTTGTACAGAATAAGATAGTACCACCACTTCTCTACTCGGCTCCTCATCGGCTCCTTACGGCCTGAAGAAATCATTAATTACAGACGTTACATAATTTCAGTTGATAGGAGACTCTGAACCTAAAAAACGGTGCTCCAGAGATTGTATTTACACTGTTTATACCCAGGAACCTCAAGTTTTAACAGACACAATGTTAAAACAGTTACGTAATAAAGACAACAGGTGAATGAGATGATGATCAACTAACGAGCTGAGTAAAAGGCGAAAGATTTATCCGCAAATGAGGAGACACCAGAGTTATTCAACTTTGTGCATTGGTGGCACAGCTGTTACGACGCTCACCGACCATCCACATGGTCCGGGGTTCGATCCCCGGTCATCGACGCACTCCTTTACCTCGCTAAACCAGAAATAATGCTGGTAAAGAGTAAAGGTTGGGCATGAGGCCAGCAGCAACCCCATCCTGTAAAAATAATCACCACTGCTACAGAAACTTCAAGCCACTAGCTTTAAGCCCTATGTTCCATTGGGAACGTGAAGGAAAAAAACAAAAAAACGATTTGAGTAACAGAAGAATAGAATAAAAGAGACAAACATAGTCACACTGTATAAAAGGTAGGAGAGGTTACATAAACAAATGGAAGAGGTAGCACAAACTGATAACTGCTCCTTTCTTAGCACATAAATCGCGTTTCAGGCCCTTGGCAGCGATTGCTTCGACAAACTTGAAAAGAGTTGAACTATTCCGTGTATTGTTAATTGTAAGGGATTTCGTGGTTCCTACCTTATGACGCATATCATAGGAGATGTCTGGCAATCGCGCTGTTGTTTCATTGAGACGTAGGGTTTCTGTCACATGTTCGAAATATTGAAGTTTTGCTTCTTCTTTCTGTTCTCTTAGTGTAATTGTTGCAGCAGGTACATGTATATTAAAACTGTTCTGCACATAAACTCAGTAACTTCTTTGGGCTGTACACAGCTGATGAGAAATCGATGAAAATAAACGATGATTGAAGCATCTTATTCTTCACAAATTGTTGCTTTTGTCTTATTGAAATTTATAAAGGGAATAAGTGAATGAAATTACGCAACAGTACATGGAAAAAGACTCTTCTGTATTGACTTTGTGGTCTATCTGGAATAGACGTGTTAATAAATTGAACCAACACTTGAATATCAATGAGATGCACACTAGGGACTTGCCATATTCAGGTAGGTAGTTACCTGAAGTTCTAGTGAGAAGTCGTGACCAGCAGGGTGCAGCAGGTCGGGTGCGGGGAAAAATACTCGCCGAAGACATTGGCTAGCGTTTGCGCTATATCGTGAATTGGCAGAAGTTAGAATTCATGGGCCATTGGATTGGGTCCCAGTGGCTTAATGGTCTATGAGCTAGCTCGCCTTGTAAGCAGAAGGTCCTGGGTTCGAACCCCTGTGGTGGGTGGGTACTGATGAAGAGTCCCAAGAGCTTTCCAGAACTCCCAGGTTTTCTGACGCTTCTCTAACCAATGTCAGATCAAGATGAAATCCTGTAACAAATCGAACTTTAATTCCTCTTCAAACACACACTTATATATTTATGTTTGATTCCTTCAGTATTGAATATCTAATACAATATTATATCATCTTCTTTGAATTTCTTTTTTATGATGCTTAGAATAATTTCAAATCATCATCAATACGTCGATCGAGTAGTTTTGTAGCAGCACCGCATGCTCATAATATCAGCATACCACAGATACGTTCATCTACATCACGTCCAGAAAATCTTGACTATTCCTCAAGTCAAATTGTTAACAGTCTATCAGATCATATTACATCATCGATAAGAATCAATGAAAATGGTCACCAACCACCTGTAAAAGATAATAATCATCATCATCATATGAATCATTGTAATGATACATCGAAAATCTCTTTTGTTATTAAATCGAATCCAACAAATGCTGGTAATCTTAAACCATTGCTAGTATTCCTCAATCCAAAATCCGGTGGAAATCAAGCTATAGTTTTAATGAAAAAATTCCAATGGTTATTAAATCCACGTCAAGTGTTTGATTTATCACAAGGTGGACCAAAACTTGGGTAAGTCTGTGTTGTAGAAATATGATGGCATACATATATAAAGATGTTGATTCTTTAAGTTGGTTGTTCTCCAGGTGGATATTATCATTACTATTATGGTTGCATTTAATTTCACTTGTAAGGTTTCGTCATATATTAACATTGTTGACAGATATCGTTGGAAATCATGGGACACTGGACATTTTATTATTATAATTCCCCTGGTTTCCGAGGAGAAATTAAGCCCTCAACAACACATCTCCACTACCTTCTGTTCTCTGCTGTCCTTTTCAGCTGGCTGACTTCACAATTGCCCATAATCTGTCATCTCCTCCTCCCCAAACTATCTCCTCCATGTCATCCAAGCACTGACGACCCACTCATCGCTTTCCATTCATGTTCCACTCGAGTGATGGCCTGCATTGCGCGTAATGTCATTCGACGGTTTACTCAATGTATTCTCGAGACACCCATCTCCATTTTCTTCTACATATCTGTTGAGCAATCGGCTCTTGGTTGTTTTGTTCCCACTGTTTCTTGTTTCTAATTCTCTCTGGCCATTTGATCTTCAGTATGGAGCCAAAAAAGGTGATAGCTGTTGATAAAAGTCTGCATTGACCTGTTGGAAATCCTTTTCGTGACACACCAAGTTTTTTTGATACTTTCATTCGTCCTATTTCAGGATTATTTAGCAATACACACCCAAGACACTACTGGGGTTCGAACCCTGGGGCCTTCAGGTTACAAGACCAAGTTCATTGATCATTCAGTCAGTTGGGGTGGAATTCAGTGACCTACGAGTTATAACTTTATCGATTTTGTTTGATAGTGATTAGCGGTGGAATCTAGAATGCACATTTTGTCTTTTTTGCGACTTGTCAGCTGGATGTACCTGCATCTTGACAGTGAGTGAGTGAATGAGTGAGTGTTGGTGTTCCCATGTGAGACTCGAACTCTGAAGCCATCATTTTTGATGCCAAAGTGTCATCCACTGGGAAACCAAAACCTACTTAATTATGTTGCACTGAAATGCTTAGCCTAAAAGTTACTTAGGATTTCTTTCAAAAATCAAAAGAAATAATCTCAGAAATATTCAGTTTATTATGACACTGTCAGAGAAATTGTTTGGTTCTAAGTTTCCAGGCTCCATTGATTGCTGTCATTTAATTTTTTATTCTACTTCAAATTTATCAGGAGCCCTTAAAGAGAAAGGCTGAAACGTTATATTTACTTCAAAATATGAGAGTAAAAACAACATGATTTAAAGGCATCTTTGGTTGATTAAAAAACACACAAACGAAAGCAGTAATTTGAAGCAATATGTATCTTATGGAAGGGGATATTATAGTAGTTCATAGTTTAGCCTGCTACGCAATCTCTGGTACCTTTTGATTTGGATGACTAGTCAGTAGACGAATCAGTATAGACCCTTGTACGCATGAGCATCACTACACTAAGCTTATTACAATAGTATTTTCAGTGGAATTAATATCTATCACTTAAATGGACAGAGCGTTATCCACTAGGCTGAAATTTTATGAGAACTACCACTCCCTGCATATTGCATGTAAATTTGAATATGATATATTTATACTTGTAAGCTTTCATTCACCTAATAGATAACGTTTCGTTATGTTGAATGCCTGAGTAGATATCTAATACTGATCTTCGTAATCAACGAAATCTTCAAAGGTTAGGTTGTAGGGATTTGATTTTCTTCATTTTCGGTTATAGATTCATGTCATTCGCAGAACCAATGAAAAGAGGGAGTATTGGACAGCTGTTTTGTCCTAGTTTAATACTTCTCATTAGTACTCACCCATAACCCGACCGGAGGTGGAACTCAGGACCTTCACGTTACGGGGTCAACCTCGCTTAACAGTCAGCTACTTAGGTCTTGAGAAACAGTGTGAGAAGCAGTCACAAGTAGGGTCCATCAGGTCAGGTGTAAAGACAGGTACTCTCTGATAACATTGGCTAGTGCCTATAGCGCTAAAGTCGTGAACTGAGGGAAAATAGAGTTTAATGGGTCATGTAATCCAACCCAGTGACTGGACAGTCAATCAGTTGGTAAAACTGTATCCTCATAATCTTAAGAACAGTAATCTGGTGTATAAGAATACGTAATAAAGCACACTGCTGCCCAAAATGTTGCTTTAGTGGAAATTTACCAGTCAGTGATTTGTAAACTTTTTAAATAGATGTCATATCTAAGCAGATTACAATAAGGTGAACAGAAGAAATTATATAGGGTATAACGGTGGTTGTTTTGGTAGCCCAAGGTTTAAGCAGGCCGCTATAAATATCAGAATGCTTGTTGTACGAAAAACGATTGGTGAATTCAGTTCATTTAAACAAATGCTAAATTTTAGCTGTGCAGGGACATGGAATCTCTGTGAAAAATAAGTCTCAGTGTCTAGCTTTCTATCTCATTTGATAACTGTTCAAAACGGTTTTGACAAACTATCAACACCATTTCAGCGAAGGTGGAAGGCACAAACATTACTAACCAACCAACGTTAAAGAAACCACATAAAATTAAGTCCCTCAACTTTTGTAACTTTACTGCCTTATACCAAACTTATACGCATTCGTGATGATATCTAGGGTAATTTTGACCATACCGTTATACATTCAGCCAGTGATCGTGCTGATAACACTTTTCACTTGTAAGATTGCGTCACTAACTAATATCATTTACAGAGATCACTAAAAAGATGGAAGAACTGGACAGTTGTCTTGTCCTAATTTTGACCCCTCATCAGTACATACCCACTACACCATCAGAAATCGAACCTTGGACCATCAGGTTATGAGACCAAGCTCATGTGTCGTTCAGTTACTTGCGATGAAATTTAATGATCCGTAAATCCTAACTCTTACTGTCTACAGCTGTTCAGTACTCCCCATACTGGTTTTCAATGATCTCTCTAAATGAAGTTTGTCGGTGACGAAATCTATGAAATTAAATTATATGACAACAACTGTTATGTAACATACGGGTGTTGACAAGTTAGAACTCCCCGGTCACTGAATTCCAAGGTTAAACAACTTGGTCTTGTAAGCTGAAAGTCCTGCATTCAGCCTGACTGATCAGTAAAGATTTCTCAAGGTCTTTATAAGGTAGTTTCGTTCTCGGCTGATATAGCGGTCCGATCAGATAAAAATAAACCTTGGCTTCCGTATCTTGCCTTCTGTTGTTACACTATGTAACTCCTTATCAGTTTTCATTGATATAAGAATAAAACTTGTGCACTGTGGTAGAGTGTAATTCCGTCATAGGTAAATTTTGTTTTGATAAAGTCTCACAGTGTTATACAGTAATGTTTACTGATGACGTTTCGAGCACAATTTATTGCCACTCATAATCATATCAAGGTAATCACATGACTTCCCGAATTCATTTATATAGTTCCATTGTTTTTCACTTGATTTTCACTTGATTTGATTGGTAGTAATATTTTGCATATTTCGGGTATGAGTGATGATTCATTCCTATTGCATGTGTTGGGTGTAGATTCGATGACACACGGATTCTCTCTCCACCTACCTAGATTACTTTTTAGAATTTTAACCCTCTCCCACCATGCTATTTAGTGGTTTTGTGTTAATGCTTGTAGTGCAATTGCTGAACTTTTTTCTAAATTACTTGTTCTCTCGAGGTCAAACATTCTTACCTTAGCTAAATTCTTATGTTCCGACAATCTGACTACCCCTGACCTACTAGTTTGACCTATGTAGTTGACTTAAATCACAGTCATTGCAGGGTATTTTGTAAATTATATTATTTTGTCTAATTGGGTCAACTGAGTCCTTTAACGTACAGAGCTTGTCGTGCCTGAGTGAGTTTATAGGTTTAAATGCCACCATAAATCCTGCTTTATTTAGAATCCTATATAAGGAGCGTCTCAGATGTCCCCTCTTTATATGGTATAACTGTAGATGACTTACATTCTCTCTTATTTATTTAATATAAGTCATCTACAGTTAAACCAATGCATGCATTACCACACAACCACACAATAGAGTGGGAGAGGGTTAAAATTCTAAAAAGTAATCTAGGTAGGTGGAGAGAGAGGTTGATTACGGAATCCTTGTTCATCGAATCTACACCCAACACATGCAATAGGAATGAATCATCACTCATACCTGAAATATGGAAAATAATACTACCAATCAAATCAAGTGAAAATCAAGTGAAAAACAATGGAACTATATAAATGAATTCGGGAAGTCATGTGATTACCTTGATATGATTATGAGTGGCAATAAATTGTGCTCGAAACGTCATCAGTAAACATTACTGTATAACACTGTGAGACTTTATCAAAGCAAAATTTACCAATAATGGACTTATCAGTTTCGGTTAATTTAGATTTCCATCTGCCACTGTACGCACTTCTTGGAGGTGAATGAAGGGATTGGTTTATGCGTCAGATCGAACAATTCTGTGTCACATAATCTACTGTTGATTGCTATTCTACTTGAAGATCTTGGTTAAAGAGAAAATCTTATGCATTAGATTGCTCTTAGAATTCTGTACATTGTGTAGAAATTTCGTCCAGAATAAAGCTATTATTATTTAAAAAATATATTTGTCATGTACACACAGTAAGACAGTATTATTATTCACTAGATGACCACGATTGTGCGTCGGTGGAATAGTGGTTAGGACGCTCGCCGACCATCCACATGGTCCGGGGTTCGATCATCGGCCACAGACGCACTCCTTTACCTCGCTAAGCTAGAAATAAGGCTCGTGAAGAGGAAAGGTTGGGCGTGAGGCTAGCAACCCCATCCTGTAAAATAAACACTGCTACAGAAACTTCAAGCCACTAGCTTGAAGCCCTATGTTCCACTGGGGAACGTGAAGGAAATAAAATAAAAAAGATGGACGACGATGCGAACATAATTCATTATTCATCACAGTAAATGGAATAGATGGGCAAGAGTTATAAAAATCGACTTTTGATGTAATGAAGTTACAATGGATAATGTGATTATGAATAGTAAATTATAAA